TGTGTCATCCAAGTCAATGCATTTCAAGGTAATTTCTGTCTCCCTCTCTTGATTCTAAGCCTTTCAATGGACAGCTCAGACATCTGTGGTTCTGGATACCTAACATCTTAACATGCATAACCAGGTGCCTGCGCAAAAAAGCAAGTATCCAATGTGCCTGAATGGAACTGAATCTCATCTTGGTAGGATAAAATCTTAGTGATCAGTGACAATAAGAAATAGCAGTCATATGGTAAATCAAAACCTTTTTTTCCTAAGCATTTTTAAAGGAGGCAAATTACAGATTTCCTTCCCCACTGGCGCTTGGCTGATGCCCATGTCATCTATGAGACCTTACTCCAGGGGCTGGATAGAGAAGGCAGCTGATCCATGATGCTCTGCTAAGTTTTAGAAACCATGGTGGGTGATGCACAAAGCCAGGATACGCCGACTCACTTCTCTGGAACTGCTCCCTAGTGTTCAAATGAGCTGCCTTTCACACCAGGCCAGCCACAATAGACCTTGGTTGTGAACCCACACATTGTGGGTTCAGGTTGAGCAGCTTCTGAAGGCCATTCCCAAAGCCTGAAGGCTAAGCTAGAGTCTCCAGATTGGTAAGAACTTGGGAGCCATGCTTTTCCAGGGTCTGTGAGCAGCTCCAGTGGCCAGAAAGGCTTTCTCCCTCTTCAGGGAATTGATTCTGTCATAGAATGGCTCTGGTGTGGGGAAGTCCTGCCCACCCCATAACTGCTGCCTTTAGAAAACAAATCCTACCTCCCAGAGCTACGTGGAGCAGGTAAACGACCTCCTCCTCCTGACAACCCTGAGTCAGACAGCGATCAGCCCTCTGCAGTCTCCTCACGAGGCTGACATCCTCCTTATCTTCCAAGTCAGAGACCTCGAAACTTTTTTGACTCTGATGATAGTAAAAAATACATTTTACAAGGCCATTCCTTACTTGTGTGTGTATGTATGTATACAACCTAAACCAGTTTCACAAACTAATGCTTACCTCCTTATATGGAATACACTTGGATGTTTTCTTATCTATTTCATTCTTTCAAATGCTGGCTGCAACTCACTAAACTGATTTTGTGACTCAGGGCTAAAAACACTGCTCTGGTTTCACCCAGCTGGTCATCCACACCCAGCTTTAACTGATTATTTAGCTCAGACCCTAAGAGGGAGGATACCCTCCTTTCCACAGCTGTTAGCAGATGTGGGCTCTCAGTAGAGCCTTTGGCATCGTTCTACACTGGGATCTCCCCAGCTCGGCATTTCCTTCTCACACACCCCAACTCATCTGAGCAAATACACACAACAGTGACAGATTGACCTGAACCGTTTTCCTGCCCAACAATCATTACCATTTACTCAGAACATATGAAACACCTTTTCTGCACTCCTCCCATCTTCCTGCTGTGTAAACGAGATTAGAGGATCTGAGGGGTCAGGTATCTAACATTTAAGGGGGCAGCCAAGATTCATGAAGAAACTCCAAGTTTTAAAAACAGTGGTAGGTGATTGACGAGGTGCATAGTCCACAAACAGACAGGTGCTAATTCCTTTTCCCTGGATCTTCTCCCCTGGGGGACCCAGAGGCCAAAGGCCACCACGCGGCTCATCTTTTTAGATTAGCGTGTGTCCTTTCTCGAAGCTAGTCACGCAGTCTTTTTCCTTACTGTTTATTTGTCACCATACCGTACGTTTGGTGATCTGGAGAACTGGGTACGAGACCTGGTTTCTCCACTTATATGGGATCTGGGGCTTCACTTTGCTGAATCTTAATTTTCTTACCTGTAAAATGTGGCTAATTACTTCTGCCCTGCCTTCTTCACATAAACATGAAGAGGTGTGAAAATGCTTTGTAAGCTGTAAAGCACTGTGCAAATATAAATCATTACAAAAACTATATGTTCTTTTTTATAAGAACTGACAGTGTTGACTCTGTCCCCAAGTTTTAGCACTGTATTCTCTGGGTTCAGTAAAGCACAGACTCCATCATCAGTCCCCTAAAGGCATCTGCATTTTATCCCTGAAAGCTGGGTTAAACCAGCTCTCCCTTGGGCAGATAGCTGATGTCATCAAAAATTCATCAGTCACAGCAGCTGGTGAATCCACTCTCTCCAGTCATTTGCACCTTCATTCAGAAAAGTAACTAGAATTGGGAGAATTGGTCCCAGGAGCAGTCAACTGAAATACAGCCTATGCCCAGCTCTTTTGGCAAATCAAGAAAATAAAAGGTGTGAGTGTTTGGGGAGTGGGAGAGATCAAGTCATCTTAGATGAGACTTTGGAGACAATCATTATCATAAGAGCCACCATGTATGGAGGACTGTGCCTTAAAAAAAAGTATTTCCAATTTTCATGAGAATGCTCAAGACAGGTACAGGCATACCTCAGAGATGGTACGGGTTTGGTTCCAGGTGACAGCATTAAAGCAATAAAGCAAGTCACAAATTTTTTGGTTTCCCAGTGCATATAAAAGTTATATTTACACTATATGGTAGTCATGCAATAGCATGTGTAAAAAAACAATGTACACACCTTAGTTTAAAAATACTTTATTGCTAAAAATGCTACCAATGGATTTGCTTGATGTAGTGTTGCCACAAGCCTTCAATTTGTAAAAACCACAATTTCTGCGGAGCGCAATAAAGCGAAATACAATAAAACGAGGTATACTTGTATTATTGTTCTCACTTTACAGATGAGGCTAAGAGGTTAAGAAACTTACTCAAAAGCATGCAGGGAGTTGGCTGAACTACAATCTGCTTTTCTCATTCAGAGATAAGCTATAGAAACCCCCAAGACTGATGTTGGACTCTGCTGAAAATATGGCTGAAATGCTAGGTTTGAGGTCAACCCTGGATTCAAGGGTCCCCAAGAGTAAGGACTTTAAATCGGAGATGGGGCTTTAATCATCAGAAAAGAAGGTACCTTGGGCCTCTAAAGGATTGGGAAGCAGGTGCTAGTTCCCTGGGGTGGGTAAGGTTTTACTTGCTAGAAGGTCCAGAGTTTGTGTTCTTTACAAAGAGCTGAAGACAATAGTTTCTGGGCTGGGCACTTGGTTGCTCAATAATTAATGAGAATCTAATATCACTTTTGTTTGGACCCCAAGCTAAAAGAGCAAAGAGGTAATACATTTACTTTTCCTGTGCCCCAAATTCTCCAAAGGTTACTGAGTGCCTACAAGTCAAGGTTGGAATACTTTGGCTGGAATTCAAGGCCTTTCTGCTCCGGCCCCAACCAATGATCTCAACATTTCCTATCTCAAACCTCTGTCCCAGCCAGACGTTCTCAGCCTTACCCAATGTGCTCTGCCCATTCCTCTTCCTGTGACTCTCTCAACAGGCAATGCCCCTCTCTGCTCTCAGCAGAGCCAATGCCACTCAGACTTGAAGAGCCTGCTTAAGATCACTCTGAACATCTGAACTCTGGTGCCCAAGTCCCTTTTCAGACTCCCATGGCCCTTGGAGCTGTGGCCTTCTGACTGCACTGATAGCTAATTGTCTGGCAGCCATTGGACTAGAGCTTCAAGTCTCTCGTGCCTCCCCGCATAGCCCAGACAGGTGACTCTCTGATCTTGCTGAGATACCTCTAGGAAACGGCCTGGCTGCTGGTCAGTTTTCTACCTCCTCACCCCCATAGCTGCAAGAAGGCTTTTTTTTTTTTTTTTTAGAAAGGCAGTTCTAATAGTCACCCAAAGAAAGTGAGCTTTCATGGTTCACACATAGACAATGACAGTCCAGTCTCTCGGCATTGCCCAACCATGAGGAGGTAAGCATCCTCATACGAAGATGGGCACCAGCAAGGTGCCCATCTCCTCCCAGGGGCAGCATTCAGTCAGTTTGAGATCGGTCTCCAACCATGGGAAGAAATGATTCTCACCTATCATCTGCTCCCCTTGCCACTGTCCCCCAGCCAAGACTGAATGCCAAAGGCTTGTCTGGGCCAGGAACTTACCTGCCTTTTCCAGAGACAGTTGCTTCAAAAGGGCACTCTTGGGAAAACGAGACTAATTCTGTACAAGATGAACTCATATTCATTCAGTACCTTCTTATCCCTAAGATACAGGTAGAACCAGACGCCCTCCCCCAGATACACAGAAGCATCCCAACCCAGTTCTTTTCCGCTGAAGCACAGCCCGTCATAGGGTATCTCTCCAGCCTGACACACAGGCCCCCAAAGTTTATAAGACACGTAGAGGTGGGGGACACATCACCCTGGTCTAAAGCCAGGGTCAAGGTGGTAGTGATCTCAAGGGCATAATCTTAAATCTTTAGAGTGGGAGCCAATCCGGACCACTGGGAAAACCTTCCCCAGGCCTACAAGTGCTCCCAGAGACCCCCTCCCTTCAGATTCCCCAAATCACACCCTGTAACTCCCGGGGCTGCTCCTAATCAATTTAGGAACAATGTATTCAGGTCCCACTGTGTTCCTGGGGGTGAAGGGCTGCCCTGAAGCGGGGATCAGCCCCCTCCAGAGAGTCAGATGCTTAACAGGGAAAAGTGTGCTGCTCCCCAGGCCCAGACAGCTGGGGTCTACAAGTGGTACATCTAGGACATCCCCCATCTATGACGAGGATCCCATTCCTGCCCCCTCTTCTAGGATGGTTATAGCCCTAGCACTGCCCTCCCAGGCCACCTGTGCCCCCCTGCTCACCGGCTCAGTCCAAAAAATCTTCCCATAAATCTCAAATAGGTGTGCAAGCAGAGGCTCTGGAGGGGATGGGACAAGCCCCCTTCCCGCAGCCATGCCCTCTCTCCCTAGAGTCTAGCGAGCTCTCCCGGGCGGCCCCGGCAGCAGCGCGGCGGGAAACCGGGAGCCCCATCCCTGTCCGCCAGCCGCCTCCAGAATCCTGGCCAGGCTCCCTCCTCCAGCACGTCTGGAGTTGGGGCCAACAGGCAGGATCAACAATCCAGAAACTTTCAATGGATCAAGCTGACTGGGAGGGGGAAAGAGAGAGGGAAGGGGGGTGGCGGGCGAGGCTCCAGGACAGAGCCCTTGCTCTTCACTTACCATCTTGCTCACATCCATGACCGAGGCTGCAGGGCACCCCCCACCCCTCGAGATCTCGCTTCCCCCAAATGCTGCTCCCGGCTAATCCAGCCCCGATGGTGCCATGCTGTGGGGAGGGCGGCCGGCAAGGCTCCCGCGGACCGGGGAAGGCGGCGGCGGCGGCGGCAGGACCGAAGCTGGACCCGAGAAAGGAAGGGGAGCCGCAGCGCGCACTGGGGGCGGGGGAGGCGCGGCCCCGCGGGCGGCCCCGGGAATCCCAAAATCAGCTGGGGGCGCCCCGGTGGGGGTGGGAAGCCTGGGTAGGGGAACCAGTGGACAGGTTTCCGGGGTCGGAGCCCACCGCACGACGCACGGCTAGGATGCGATTTGAATAACAAAAGGTCGCTACTCCCCCAAGCCCCGGTGGCCTGGATCGCGGAGCCGCGAGCGAGGCCGCCGGGCCCGCCAGGAAGTGTGAGTGTGAGTGTGTGTGCGCGCGCGTTTGGTGGTGGGATCAGTGGGACTCAGGAAGTGAGTGGGGGAGGCGGCTGAAAAGGAGGGAGAGCTGGGGGGCGCCGCGAGCCGACATTCCAGTGGGGGCAGGGGGTCTGCTCGGCCCCTCCCCACTTGGCTTCCCTGGACAAAGGCGGAATTCAGGGCCAGTTGTCTGCCTCCCGAGGCTAATCCGGAGGGGACGCCCGGATGAGTCTGGGGTCTGCCGACAGATGGGCGGATGAAGGAAGTGGAACAGGTATCCGCGGAAGCCGAGGTCCCTGCGAGTGAGCCAGAGCCAGCCCTTCGTGGAGTGAGGGAAAGTGGCTTCCAAATGATGTCGGCCCCGACTGCAGAGTTCCTTTCTCTCAAGCCAGAATCCCTAGTCTTCCATTCCGTACTCAGTGTCTAATCTGCCTTTACAGAAATAGGAGGCAGGCACTCCTCTCTGCAGGGAACTCAGCTGGTGGCGAAAAAGGACTCCTGGCAAACGCTATTTTGGGGCAATCACCAGAAAAAGCTAGAGGCCCAAGCCTCTGGTTTCAGCACCACAGACTGCTTCAAATCTTCAGATGAGCAGGAAGGTTTGGGGCACAGCCGAGTCAACAAGAGACGTGAGACCACTTACACCAACCCTGTGTTACCCAACAGGTGAGAAACAGGCCCAGAGAAGGGGAGTAATTTGCCCAGGTCACACACCTGGCAGGGTTTGGGGGCAGGGGAAACCTCAATAAGGACAGTACAGCCCAAGCCAACAAGAGCTTCCCATGCTGCCACAGAGCATCCAGTCTCTAAAATTCTTTCCAATGAAGGGGCGATGGGCCCCCTCCACAACCTCCGCCCTCTGGCTCACACCAAGTGGTGGAGAAGGCAGCCCTGGTCAGTAGCCTATGTTGATTCCCGGGCTGACTAGGACAGTTCCTGCCCCTTCACATCTGAGTTCTCTATCTATGAAATAGGGACTGTTTCTCTCCCTGCTTCCTAGGGGGATCTGAGAACACCATAATATAAAAGATGATATAAAAGATGTAAAAGCAGACGTATAGGGATATAAGGGGCTTTCATTGCGGTTCATTTTCATTTCCTGGCTCTGGAGTCAGTCATGGGTCCCCTAGCTTCAGGTTAAGGGCTTTCTGGGCCCAGGTCTCTCTATCTAACCTCCAAGTCTGGACTGCAGATTGACTCTCCTGCCCCAATCTGTAGGGCCGCCCACGCAAGCCCAGCTCTTCTCCTGCTGTGCTCCAGCCGGGGAAGCCAGGAGGGACTGCCCTGGTCTGTTCTGCTGTGCCGGGCTCCCGTAGTCCCTTCTACTGACTCAAATCCACAGAGTGAACCCAAATACAGGGGTGTGAGGGTTAGGGGGATGGGACACACAGGAAGGAAGCATGCCCCCATTTCCTCTTCCTCCAACACTGACACCTGAGTGGGATCAGGGCCAGGTGAACCAACAGGCTCACCCAATGCAGAGATGAGGTTTAGATTATCTCCTTGATTAAATGTTACCTCCATCTTTTTTTTTTTTAAGGGGGTGGGGAGGTGTCGATGTAAGGAATGTCCAAACTCGTAGAGAATTTTAATGAATTTATTTGAACCAAACTGACAATTTCCAGGAAGCAAAATCACAATGGATTAAGAAAATGCTCCAGAGAATGGCAGTTTTGCAGCTTATTTTATACATTAGAATCAGGAGAAGACATAAGGAGGGTTCATTGGTGGTAGATTAAGGGGGCGGGAGAAAGCAAAGTGGGGAGATCTCTGGAACTGGATAAAAAGTAAAACGGAGGGACACACACTTCTTTTACATTGGTGGGTACGGGAAAGTTAAGAATTAACATTTACAACACATAGAGATGGTATGTGGGGAACAACATAACCATAAAGGGCTCTGGTGCAATGGGTTGGTTGTGCCCTGAGGGGCCTAGAGAAAAGGGATTACTCTGACATTCCAAGGATCTGTTATCTTAGATGCAAAAAGACAACAACAGGCTTACTTAAGGTAAAGGTTGACCTTTGTCAAGAAAGCTACAGGCCCAAGATGTGACAACCAGCCATGACCTGCTTTTAGTTAGAAATTTTTATCAGACCATCCTATGTGGTTACTTTCGGTCTCTTGAGTTTTTAGGCCCCACCATGCAGGCCTCCCCTGAGTTTGTCAGGTTTAGTATGTGGCTCCTTTTTGTCTACAGTGGGGATAAAATTTATATGTTTAAAAAATGTTATGAGGGTGGCTCCATAGTGTAGTGGTTAGCACATCTGCTTTCCACGCAGAGGTCCTGTGTTTGCACCCCAGGTGGAGCCACGGACCATACCCCGGGTGCGCCAGCCCTCTCAACCCACAAGTGCAGGAGAAGACGCCCCGCCTTCAGAGATCCAGTTCTTACCACGCAGAGGTCCTATGTTTGCACCCCAGGTGGAGCCACCGACCATATCCCGGGTGCGCCAGCCCCCCCACCCCACAAGTGCAGGAGAAGATGCACCACCTTCAGAGATCCAGTTCTTAAGGGGAAACGGCAACATCCATAGGTCAGGAGTGGAAGTGAAGTGGGGAGGAATTAAAGAGGGGAAAAAAATGTTATGAATTCTTAGGCCTGAGGTTCACCAATAGGTCAAGGTCTCCCAACAGATGTTGGTGCCTTAGCTGGCAAAATTTTCTCGTTGCTAAAATGGAGATAGTTACACCTACTTCACTTGCTGGGGGTAAGAGGCAAATGAAGGAACTTTCCCACACCTTACCTGTAGTCAGCTGACTAATGGCCCCCAAAGATACCAGGTCTTCATCCCTGGAATCTGATATGGCAAAGACTGTTCAGGTATAATTAAGGATTCTGAGATGGGAAGATGATCCTGGATTATCTGGATATACCCTAGATGCAATCACATGTCTCCTTGTAAAAGGGAGATTTGACACATGCAGAAGAGGTGAGACAGTGTACCACACACAGATTGGAATGATGCGCCAGAAGGTAGGACATGCTGGCAGCCACCATAAGCTCTAACAGGCAAAAGATTCTCCCCTAGAGCCTCTAAAAGGAATGTGGCCCTGTCAACACCTTGATTTGGCCCAGTGACACCGATTATAGATGTCTGATCTCCAGAGCTATAAGAATAAATTTCTGCTATTTTAGCCACCGAGTTTATGGTCCTCTGTTACAGCAGCCCTAGTAAGTGAATATTACTATCCAAAGGTCAGTGAGGGCTGGTGTCATAGCTCCAGACATGCCCCTGCCTTGGGGCTGCCCCCTATGTAGGACATCCTCAGAACTGTTCATGTGATGGCAAAAAGGGAGACCGGCCAGGAACAGGCCTGCTCTCCTGCTCCATTTGGGGGGTTGGCAAATACATGTAAGCATGTATGTGCAGGGATGCACACAAGCACACACAAACACAGGGAAGGGGCAAACAGCTTTCTTAAAAGAGCTTGGGCTTCTTTGTTTGGGCTAACCTAACACGTGCTAGGCCCACCCAGCACACAAACATCTTTAGGGGCCTGCCTTTCCTACCTCTCCTCTTTGGCAGACAGGTTCAGACTTAGAGAAGAAGTGATGAGGAGGGGCCTGCCTGGGGATTCCCCATTCCAAGGTGGTTGTACCACGAGACATTTCTTGGTCTCAGGACATCAAAGAAAGACATTTCTAGCCATGCAGGTAGGGAGAGAAGCAATTTGAAACATGTATGATTGCCAGTGGCTCAGGCTTGGGGAACCTCTTTTGAATAAATTGGACAGAAAGAGAAACAGTACAGAAATTATACTGTGGCCCTCTGGCTGCTACTCTGTCTTCCTTTGCCAGCTCCAGGCCACCATATACAAAAGCCTACTGGACAGCTCCACCTGGGGATGGAATTCTCAGTCTCACAGGCACCTCATATTCAAGGTGTCTAGGGACAAATTTTCTTTTCCCTGTTTTTGCAATCTGCTCTTTCCTGTTTTCTGTCTCAACTAATGGTTGCACCTCCACTTAGTTGCTCAAGCTAGAAACTTGGAAGTCAGCTTTAATCCCTCCACTGACAACCCCCACTCCCGCCCCATCTAATGAGGCCCCATGCAGTTCTTTGTCTTCCCTCCCAATACCAACTGCTCCTGCGCTGGCTAAGACTTTAAACAACAGCCTCCTAGCCTCCCTGCCGCGCCTCTTCTTGTCTAATTCATCTTCCACACATCTAATGATGACTCCCTACTGGCCCACCCCAAATGGGGGGAAAAAACACCTCTTTTATGGTTCGTTACCCCTCAATATCCTTACTAATCTGGCCTCATCTCCATTCTAATATACTTTCTCCCACCCATCCCCCACTGCCCCATCAAACAGGATGCTCCTGGAATGCCCTTCCTACTTCCTCAGCTTGGAAGATCATTTCTCACCCCTCAGGACCCATCTCAGATGTCACCTTCTCTGTGAAGCCATCCCTGACCCATGCAGACATAGCCAATCACTCTGGAGTCTCCTATAGTGGAGAGCTCCTGGATACCCATATAGCCTAAATCACCCTGGGAAGGCATGGTTCATGCTCTGGGCTCTCCTGCTCACCTGTGCGCTTCCTCAAGTAGAGGCTGGGCCTTACTGGTCTAGCATCTTGAGTGGTCTGCCCTTTACTAACTTTTCCAGCCGAATTCCACAGCACTGCTCCAACTAAAAAGTATGGAATGGACTCTGGAGGCCTGTGTACGAAAGGTTCGGTGGATGTGATCTGGTAGAGGGTGACACCTACTGGAGAACTG